AAGGAGATGTTTGAGAGCACCTAAATTAGACTAAAATCTTATAACAGCACTTTCAAACAATAGTAAGAGATGTGTCAATATTAGCTGAGATCAATTTATTATAAAGCTTACCCCTTTACTCCCACCTGAAATATTTAGTTATTCTGATTAGTTATATATATACAGTATATTTAGACCTGAGATTTTGTCTATCTTCTCCACGCTACAATGTTAGCTGATATCTGATATTTCCTAACAGTAGCATAAAAAAATAGAAACATTAAAAAAATTTATATATAAAGTAATTTTTCAGAATACATCTGAGGAAATTCCCGAATATGTCAATTTAGAAGAAAATGATACTTGCACAGTTTGTTACGATATAATTAGTCCAACTCTTCAAGAATCAATTACGATTTTAACATGTCAGCATTTTTTTTACAAAAAATGTATAAGCCATTGGGTTGTTGATTTAAAACTTTTTTGTTCTAATTGTTGAAATGAGGCAAATACTAAAAATAAGACCGTTGAAGTTGAAAATTTAATGAATATAGATAATGATGAAAACATTGACACTACCACTATAATACCTGATAATTATGAAACTTTAACACTACCACTATAATACCTACTATGCTCACGATGCCTATATCATCTATTATGCCTATAGCATCTACAGCACCCACTATGCTTACAATGCCTATATTATCTACAGCACCCACTATGCTTACGACGTCTATATTATCTACAGCATCCACTACACCCACTATGCTTATAACACCTGCCATATTTACATCTACAGCATTTACTATACCTTTAGCACTTACTACGTTTCCAGAATCTACTTCTACTACATCTTAGTATCTGCTACATCTATGATACCTATTACACCTGTAGTATCAGAACCCATATACACTGAATCTACATATACTGAATCTATATATGTTGAACCTACATATGCTGAATCTATATATAACGAATCTACATATACTGAATCTATTATATCAGTAGCATCTACTTTATCTGTTTCATCTGTGATAAGAAAAGATAAAAATTTTTGAGGAATTTTCAAGCAATTAAAAACTCCTGTTAATGATGATGATATATCTAAAATTAGTAGTAGTAAAGATGATACAAAAAGTGTTGTTGAGAAAAATAATACAACATCAGGCTTGGCTTTATTATATTATAAAGCAAATTGTAATAAAGAATGTGCAACGCATTCAAACTAAGCTGAAATATTATTGTGGTATCATTATGCTGAAGGGTTTGAAAAACAAGTAAAAAAAATATTAAATAATACTAGAATAACTACAAACAAGTCAAAATCAAAAGTCTATAGAGAACTTTTGACCCGTCTTGTAGATGTTGATTTACAAACTTTACAAAAAAGAACACAGAGAGCAAATACTGTATATAATTTATTTAAAAAAATTGGAGTTGATAAAATTCGACGAATTAAAATATATGGTTTTTATTCAATTGCAGACCTTACTATACCTCAAATTAAAACAATCGAAAATTATTTTTTGTTACAACAGGTTTGAAATTGAAATAAATCTAATATTAATTTTTCAAATGTAAAACCCAGATCTTTATAATTATTCAAATTAAACAGTTAGAAATTAGTAGATTATTTTGGATACTGTGACAAAAAATAACATAACGATTGTAAATAAGCTTTTTGTAACCTTATAGTAATAGGGTTACTCTAATAGACTTTTATATTGTTATACTACTATATTTACATAATAGTATATAGCTAATTTAAGTCTAATAATATATATATAAATAGAGATAATAGCTAAAAAAATACTTGGAAAATTTTTTAGTTTTTTGAAATAAAAGATATTTTAGAGGACTAAAGTGTGTACCAGGTATACTTATTAGAAAGATACTTACTTGTAATGCTTATATTCTTTGTACTTTTAGTGTCTTGTATGCAATTATAAATAATTAGTTTCTTACTTTTAATACTTAGGCCATTCAAAGTTGATTAGTTGTTTAATGTCAACATTTTGAGCTTAGACTTGGGGTGAAGAAAAATTTAAACACATATACAACACAGAATATTTGGTTGATCAACCTTAATCATATGATTATTGAAGATTATCTTGCATTTGTACGTGAACGGCCTTATGACCAGATTACCTCAAATTTATCAACATCGAGTTAAGATGATGCACTGATTGATCATGAAAAAAAGGTTTATAATCGAAAAATTGTCAGATGAGTACCTTAAATTTGTTATCTCGACTCAACGTCAATATGACAAGTTCAAATTTGTCATCTCAACTCAACGTCGAGGGACAAGTTCGAATTTATCATGTGACAAATTCAAATTTGTCATCTCGACTCAACGTTGAGGGACAAATTCGAATTAATCACGCAACAAATTTGAATTTATCATATGACAAATTTGAACTTGTCACTCAACGTTGAGTCGAGATGACAAATTTGAATTTGTCACATGATAAATTCGAATTTGTCACTCGACGTTGAGTCAAGATAACAAATTTGAATTTGTCACATCAAGGTAACAAATTTGAGATAATAACTTATTTAAGGGTAGAGAGTATAAATTGAACCTAGCTGTTACACCAATTTTGTTATGGATAATTCTTGATTTTGATTAGCTATAAGCAATAATCTCTTGATTTTGATTGGCTAAGAGTGGTAATCAATAATTTAGACCAAAGTTACTCAAAATTTTACTAATAAAACCATAGCCACACATTAAGTAAAAAATATTTCTGGACTAATTTTACTATTATATAGATCTATTTTTCTAAATATTTTCATTTTGGGAATGAAAAAGTTAAAAAGTTAATTCTGGCCAAAAATTATATAAACAATTATGTAATATGAGCCAAAATTTTGTAGATCACAACTGTTAGCCAATCAAAATTGAGAATTATCCATAACAAAATTGATGCAGTAGCTATG